ATAGCCCAATAATGCGTGCGAATAAACTTTATGCGAAATAGGTCGGATATCTCGCACCTCGTTCCACCTGCGTTCGTATATCTCATTTGGTTTAAGTACATATTGAAAGAAAATAAATTTTAATAAATATTTGTTTAAGCAGCACTAATTAAACATTTACTTACAGTAAATAAATATTTACTCAATCAAAAATGATACTTAAATCAAATCAATGATTCTTGTACCAAAAAGTATAAGTTTACATTTAGTAAATATTTAGTTAGTACTATTAAAAAAAATATTTATTAAAATTTAGTAGTTTCCGATGTATATTATACATCATAATACACAAAAAATATGTTTCAAATTTCAAATAATAATATTCATTGGATAAATAATCATCTAAAGTTATATCTTTTATAACAAATATCTTTTTGAGATATTTTCGCCAATCGATTAAGGAGAATGCAATATGTTAAGAATTGCTTGAAATTTGGAACATAGCTTTATCTACAAAGCATGCTTTTATGTAAATTTTTTCAGATTTTTTGACCAGCGCATTTTTCTGTAAATTAATAACAAAATTCTGGATTTTATAATAGACTATCTCTCTTTCTCTAATAAGAGACTCGATTCTATGTATCTGTTTTCAATAAATATTAATATTTGAAATGTTAAGAATCGAATAAATTTATGTGTTTAATATATAAAGTATAGCATATTAAAAATATATTTGAAGATTAAAACAACTTTTACCACTCAGTTTATTAACAATAGTAAAAAATATAACCAAAGATGTGATACTTCTGCCATTGAAACTGTTTGATGGAGAAAATGTGGCAACGTTGTTTCATCATCGCGAATTAAAAATATTCTATCAGTTGAGTAATGCCGTCAAAGTCTCAGTACAAATGCTTCTAAGCATTTGATTTACTAATCACAGAAAAAAAATTGTACTAATTTGTCAAAGAACGCTTCGAAATATTTATAGCGTCACGTTAACTTTATCTACCCGTCAGACATTGCAGTTTGCAGTGTTACCAACTTCGATTTTTCAGTTTTACACTGTTTCCAAATCATTTCTTGAGCTAAAAATATTTATTGTTCTAAAAAATATATGTTTATCTTTGAAACTTTTACACAAATAAACACTAATATTTTTTGCATTTTAATTGCATTATAATCCATATTTCTTTAAATTTTAGCTATTTATTTCATCAAATTTTAATGTTTAAATGTTGGCTACACTCCATATTTCTTTTGTATTAAAGCATTCCCCTCTCACTGCCCACCTCAGCCTTACAAACTCCTTAAATGAACAGTATAAAAAGGCAAAAATTAATATACTTATAATTTAAATAAATAAGATCTACTCTGTGCGTGTATATTTTTATGTAATTAAAAGCTGTGATAAATTTAAATTGATAATTTGAAGCTGCTATTCACTTATAATTATCATTTCAGATTATGAAATCGTCAGAGGCGAGAAATACACAATAAAAATTTTTGTAAAATGTATTAATATGGAAATGTTTCAATAAAATAACATGCAATCAATAGAACCGATAAAATATAATGGACGACTTATAAAATATAATGGAAATTCTGCTCTTATTCTATTGTTAATTAATAAATAACTATATATCTGGAAATGAATTATGCATAACCAAAAACAAAATAATCTGTTCACAGCTGTGACAAATTCAAATTAATAATATATAGAAATAAATGATTTAATCTCTCCCCGAAGCAAAAAGAAGATAATTTTTGATATATTTTATAAGTCTATTCTATTTTGAATTTGATTTATTTTTGGAGCCACAAAACTATTTTTATTTTTATATTCATTTTATTTATATTCGAATTTTACATTCTATCGATTGCAAATGTTATTTCATCGAAAAATATTTCTACTTGAATATAATTTACAAGAATTTTTATTTGAAGTATATTCTCTCGCTTCTGACGTCATAATCTGAGATATCTAGTGAACAGAAGCCCCAAGATGAAAACCTTATACAGAGCAAATTTTCACGTGCATACACTGTTAAATCCATGGCGTCAAATTTAATCAAATTTAAATCGCTACTGTACCTACACTGAAAAAAATTCAGTAAATATTTACTTGCAATAAAGAAATGTTTACTCGGAATTATTCAAGAAAAAAATTACTTGAATTTAGAAAATGTTTTTCAGTAGTTTTTCAGTTTTAATATAAAATATAACGATATATTGAGAGTATACTGAAAAAAAATGTTCTAAATCCAAGTAATTTTTTCCTTAAATAGTTTCAAGTAAACATTGCTTTAATATAAGTAAATATTTACTAAATTTTTTACACTATATAGTTAAATTTATACATTGTTAAATTAGATTAAATGTGACACTATAAATTGAACAATGTAAAGGGACTCGAGTTTAATTATACGCGAATCGTCAAGAATTCTATGTAGCGCGAATACGCGCTCCACGTGTCACGTCTATCTAAGATTTTATTTCGAAATGTCCAATCGTCGTCGAGAGAAAGGAAACAAGGCGGAATGGATAGAAAACAGCTGAGGCGCAGCTGGTTTCTGGCATCGCGACGACTGGCGTCTTCCCCGCGCGCGCAAAGAGCGTCGCACTCCGCGCACACGTGTGTGTGTGTATGCACACGCGTGACGTCTGTGTATAGCACAAACCATCGATGGTAGAAAGCAGAACTAGAAATCAATTGCTAACAATATTTTACGCCAGGCGATAACAAACCGCAGAAGAAAAATTAACATTCGCGACCGGCAAACGGCGGTGATTCCGTGGCAACAGCTTGCGAGGATCCCGTTAATCTGTAAATAATTACAACCGCCGGTTACAACGCGATTACGCCGTTTCGTTGGAGAATCTGGGAAAAGCGAAGGTGGAGCAAATATCTGAAATCCATGAGAAGACTTGCAAATGAACCTTGGATAAAAAGAAAGAGAGAGACGACAGAGACGGAGAGATCAAGTTTTTTTTGTAAAGTTATTTTTAAAACTTCCTATAAAAACTACTTCAGAAAAAGAAAAACATTGTAAAATTCCGACGTAATTTCAACTTTAAAATAAAAAGAATCGTGTGAAAATGTACGAAAGAATTTACGGTAGAATATACCTTACATGAAACGCTGTTGCGTCTATTGATCCTCGAATGAATGACGTGTTGCTCTCATTCTAAAAAAATATTAACGATAAAATCCGTATCATCCTTATAATTTCGTTACATTTTCCTTTTATTCGTCTATTATTAATGGCTGCATTCAACAGAAAAAGCAGCTAAATTCTTTGGAGTGAATCTCACTTCAAAGAATTTACAGAGTACACACTTGACTTCTGTACCGAAAAGAACTCGAGTCCAGAGTCGAATAAATTCACATAAATTATTAAGCACCTAAGATCTAGCTTCGACCGTTATAGGCATTACTCTTCACTTGTTGCGTATTCACACTTAAACCGGTTCTACATTAGTTACAAGTTGATCGCAAGTTTGTCGCAACAGCCAATTGGAAGCTTGCATTTTGAAATCAACGCTTCATATTACTATCAGCTTGCAATTAATGTACCAGATATGTAAATATGAAATCGGAATTTACCAATAGATGGCCATAGCTGTCAATGTAGTTGCCGCCATTTCCTTGTTCTGACATCTGACAAAGATTTTCAACTCACAACAATACAAGTTTCATACAACAGTATAGTTTGTAATAGCGTTGAACATGTCGAATTTTGTACCTGGAAACTGCGATTTGCGGACAGCATTGATTTTCTGTTACCATTTGAAGAAAACTGCTGTAGAATCGCATCGAATGCTTGTCGAAGCTTACGGTGAGCATGCTCTTGGTAAATCACAGTGCTTTGAGTGGTTTAAAAAATTCAAAAGTGGCGATTTTGACGTGAGAAACGAAGAACGTGGAAAACCACCGAAAAAATTTGAAGACAGCGAATTGCAAGCATTGTTGGATGAGGATGACGCTCAACCCAACAACTCGTGGATCAATTGAATGTGACACGAGAAGCCATCTCCATACGTTTGAAATCCATGGGAAAGATCCAGAAGATGGGAAAATGGGTTCCACATGAACTGAATAAAAGACAGCAGGAAAACCGAAAAACCACTCACGAAATACTGCTCGCCAGGTACAAAAGAAAGTCATTTCTCCATCGAATTGTGACTGGCGATGAAAAGTGGATATATTTTGAGAATTCTAAGCGTAAAAGATCATGGGTAACTCCAGGCGAACCATCGACATCGACTGCAAGACCAAATCGCTATGGACGGAAGAGAATGCTCTATGTTTGGTGGAATCAGAAAGGTGTGATCTATTATGAGCTGCTAAAACCTGGCGAAACCGTTAATACTGAACGCTACCGACAACAAATGATCAATTTGAATCAAGCTTTACGTGAAAAACGATCGAAATATCAAAAAAGGCAACACAAAGTGATTTTGCTTTATGATAATGCACCATCACACACAGCAAAACTGGTCAAGGAAACGATTGAGGCGTTTGGTTGGGAAATACTTTCGTATGCGGCTTACTCACCAGACTTGGCTCCGTCCGATTACTATTTATTTGCATCGATGGGACACGCACTTGCTCAGCAGCGCTTCACTTCTTACGAAGATGTACGAAAATGGCTAGATGACTGGTTTGGCTCAAAAGAGCAACAATTTTTTTGGCGTGGCATCCACAAATTGTCAGACAGGTGGGAAAAATGTATAGCTAGCGATGGGCAATACTTCGAATAAAATATTTTTTATTATTTTCATGCAATAAACGTGTATTTTCTATTAAAAAATTCCGGTTTCATATTTACATACCTGGTAGACTTTATACTTGAAAAGTCGCTTTTTCCGCTGAGCGCAACCAATGATCGGAATAAACCCCTACAGCACAAAGTTGCACAAAAGTTGCAGCAACATTGCATGTTGCAACAATATTGCTGCAAATTTTGTGCTGTATGAGAAGGGCGCAACTTCTAGTAGCATTCGACGACCTCGTATCCCACATTTCGCCGAAGTGACGTGTCATAACGACGTCGACGTCGACATCGTTCACTGTACTCCCTCGTTGCGCTGAACACATACAGTGGACACTTGGAACGTCTTCCTCCTGAATCTCCTGAATTAACACGCCGAAAGAATTCACATGAATCTTTCCCAGACGCGCGCGTCGCGCTGGCTAAGTATAGCAGAGCCGGCGCGACGTGGGCGCGGATGCAGCCGTGAAAAGCATTCGCATTAATCTCGGCGCCACCTTTGTCGGCCGGACAAGCGAAATATTTCACGACGACGACGGCTGCGTCCTCGCTAATGAAACGCCCCAGGTGGTGACGATTCTAGTCGTCTCGGCCTGACGCGACTTGCGAATTAAAACTCCCGGGTGTCCCGTAAGGACACCCTCTCCTCCTCTTTTTTTTTTCTTTCGCTTGCCGTTACACGCATTCACCGGAACAGTCGTGTGGAATTGATCAACACCGCTCTACCATGTACAAAGAATTTATTTTTCTTAACATTGACAGTACTCACAAACTCGCAGCTCGCACAATAACATCGAGATATGGCTGTGCGTGGCGTCGACGCCACCTTGAGACTCCGCGCCTCCCGACTTCCTTATTGCCTTACTGATCGATCGATCGATTGGCCGATTGATTAGCCCGTATCGCTCCCGAGCAACATTCAAAGCGGACGGTGCGTGAGCCCGACTTTGGAACAATTATTATGACAAGCGTTTCTCTCTCATCCCCTCTCCCCCTCTTTCTCTCATTACTGCCCGGCTTTCAACCGGTATCGGATGTGCAGGACGATGTATCGGCGTTACTCTGATCGTTGTTGCTCTCCGTCGACGAGCTGTCGTTACTCTTTATTCGCCGTTTGCGCAGCTTCGCGAACTGAAACTCCTCGACCGGCACTGTACACCAACAATAGAAGTCATGTCATTAATCCTCTGGCTAATTATCGCCGTTCGCAATTTCGTTTTTTTTTTCTTTTTGCTTTACGTATATCTCTCATTCCGTTTCGCAGCAAGGATAGGATAACTTGATCGGGTTGAGTCAAAGCGCAGGAAAACGAGAACGAACGAAGAACGCTTATATATTTCTTTCTCTCTCTTTCTCTCCCCCCCCCTCTCTCTCTCTCTCTCTCTCTCTCTCTCTCGGCCAACCGAAACATTTTACATTGTGAATCGCATTATCTTACAGTAGAAAGTGCGCATACAATGAATTTATTTGAGTACCTTGAGATTGACTGGCGATTCTAAGGCATTAACATTAAAAATCTTGAACTATTCCGTAATTGATACGTAACATATATCCCTTCATTGCATAAATCTTCGCATCCGCGCGAAATGACTTAATTTAATCTCTCTTTCAAGCTCATTTCTACCTTTTTAGATTTTAACTTTAATCTCGGTTTATAGAATTGTCACAAATTCCTTATCCTGAAGTTCCATAACTTTTCCTGATTTCCAGACAAAATTTCGTGATGTTTCCTGATGCTTCAATAATATTTTTAATTTTTTTTTGTAGTGTCCTCATTTGAAAACTGTCAAATATTTTGAGAGAGCAATTCATAGCAATATAAATTACTATTAATGCTACTAACACCACTTGCATTTGATTGTTAAGTTAATAATATTCCAAGATTCCATAGGTGTGACGTACGCATATTAAACTTCTTTAACACCAAGAATTTTAATTTTGTGTGAAACAGAAAATTTTGCAAAATTTCCCTGATTTTTCCCTAATTTCCCCTATTTTCAATTTCCTTGATTCCCCTAATTTCAATTTTGTGGCCTGATTTAATTTACTCTTCCTCTTTTTCTAATTCTTAAAACTAGAGAAGGTAAGTTAAACGAAGATTAAAGTTAATCTATATTTTAGTAGAAACGTACATCAGCCACGTCCCTAAACTTCATAGGCATGTACTAAATTTTAGTGTCAAGAGATGAGACCAGCTCTCGAGTGTTTTCACAAAAACTGTAAATCGTTACAGACGTACCTAGTGTGAAATAGACGACTCTGTGTGCGACGAGGTAGACCAACGATCTTTATTTACAAATAATGCACTGCGTAACACATGAATAAGCTTCCTTGCTATGCGCTGGGAGAAGCAATAAATCGGCTCGTACATCAAAAGCATGTTGTTATGCGGTATGTACATACTTACACGGCAAGTCGATGAAAATTACGTAATGAAGAGAGAACATTCAAAGTAGTAAACTTCCGTACTCAACATCCTCATCTCTGATATCTACGCAACGTGTCGGAGATTCAACACATGGCATGTATTTCTCATTCGTTCGCAATAAAAAAAATTATTTGCACAATTTATCGACAGTTTCTTGATCAACTACCCTTGCATAAACTAGTAAGGAAATTTACTTTGTACCATCTCTGTATTGCAAATTTGCTCAGTGACGATTGTTTTACACATGCGAGTAATAACGCAAAAAAATATGCGTAAATAATCGGAAAGTGTCGATTCGCCGTTTGCGACTGATACTTCTTACAGCGGTTTTTGTACTAGTATCTCCTCACGGGGAGAAAGTGCACGGGATGTCAGGTAAAGCGCAAAATCTTAAGAAGCAAGACATCGCTTCTCATTAACATCAATTTCTAATAGAAATACTCTCTTTAAAATAGTCTCTTATGCATTCACGTATAGTTAATGTAATTACATATATATATATATCTCACAACAATAAAATCATCTGAGGATGTAAAAACAGTTCAGACTAAACAGGTCTCTTTGCTCTCTTACAACAAAGCATAGAATATACTCCTTCCTTCCGTGGTTTACCTCCATTAATATACATATTAGAAACATGATGTGTGTTACCTGAATTAACCGGCCGTTCGTTCCGTAGGTAAATTTTAAATATTTTACATTTGAACGTTCGTCGAAGATCCAATTTATTCCTTAGCGATATGGCTACTTTTAGTGGAGGTTTCATTACCATCTGAATCGGGATCTTGATCGGCAGCGCCGTGAACTGGAGCGGTTGGCAATGGCACGACCTCCGGCTCGAGAGGCTTCACCGGGCAATCGACATCTTCCACGATAACTTCCTCCGCCAAACTGCTCCTTACTGCCTCTGCGCAATTAGGATAGAAAAAAATATAACGAATGGATCATATATCTACTTTCCTCGTTGATTCATTCATATAATTAATTACCGTTGAACGCCTGTGGATACTGCTGGCTCAATTTACTCTTTATCAAGCGAATCCTCTTAAAAATATAATCCAGGTCCCTCTTCATCTCGACTAGAAGAGCAGTGTGCTTCTTGAATTCTGTACCGGCAGTCTTGAGTCTATTCACCGACAACTGATTGCAATTTGTCAGCATCTCGTTGGTCTTTTCAAACCTTTGTAACCTGGAAGCGCACAAAGAGTTAAATATTATATCATGAGAGAATTAGAGGTGTGTAAATATATCTCGAGAAAGACAAATAGCAAATTTGGTCACTTGCATTACACTAAATTAGTGTATACTAAAAACTGCTATATGTATTTATACATATATACAAAATTAGCAAAGTTTGTCCTGATGTTTTGGACTTTGTACTGTTTGGGCGAGTTCACCATGCAAGTTAAAAGAGGTCTGTTTTTTATACCTGTACCCCTACTGAAAAAAATCACGTCACACAGTTGCATGATAAAATTATGTAATTGAAACACGTAACAGATTGTTCCAAATCAGTACGTGATTTTTTAAAACAATATAATTTGAAAAATTACATGATATTAGAAATAATTTCATCCATGATGTGATTTTATAGTTATCGACTTTTAAAGAATTGAACGATAGAAATATAAGAAAAAAGAACGTATCATCATGTAACTTTTCTTTTACGCGATTTACATGTTTTAATCACATAATTTCGGCTGTGGTCAAAGTCTCGCTACAAATGCTTTGAAGCATTTGATGAACCAATTAGAAGAAAGAATTTTACAAACTGACCAATTAAAAGACATTTCAAAGCATTTGTAGCATCGCGTTGACCATATCCTTTATCATGTAACGTTATGACATGATTTTTTTTAGTAGGGACCCAATTGTACTAGAATTCTCTTTCTCGCTTTTGCCAAATCTGAAACATATATCTATCTCACTTTAAGTTCCAAAAGTGTACACTAGTACAGTCACAAAAAATAAGCCTAAGGTCTATTCTTTTAAATATACATATAATAAATAAGGGGCTAAGAGTAATAGTGGGTTATGAGTTGCTATCTTTTAATAATTTTTAAAATTACATAACAAACAAACGTTTCGACCTTACACTAGGTCATTTTGAATATTTGATAAACATATTCTAATGACAAATTAAAATTGTTACTTAAGAACGTTTAATGACAAAGATGCATACTTGAAATTAAAATTGACGGAATCTATTGTTTTAGCTGAGTTTCTTTGTGTGTATATGTGTGGCCATAGTTCTCTTTTTCTCTTCTCCTCATCAAGTGAAAAGAAAAGAAGGAAAAAAAATGTGCAAGAAGGCAAAGAAGTTCAGTTGGGTCCAATTTCACAACTCATGGTTAACTCTTAACCGAGGTTTAACTTATTCCTGATCTCTTTCTAATGCTAGAATTGCAAAGAGATGAGACATAAGTTGGACCTCGGTTAAGAGTTAACCATGAGTTGTGAAACTGAGCCTTAAGCTAATTCTACAATGTGCTTTTTGTTTCCTGTTTCTTGCTGTTTGTCTTTTGCCTTCTTGATCAAAAAGGCAAGAGACAAACAGCAAGAAACAGGAAACAAAAAGCACATTGTAGAACAACCGTTAGCCTTAGAAGTTTAAAACGAACAAGTCTAGAAAATCAGAGCTGAAACTTACATCTGTTTCTGTGCACGTATCATAGACTCCACGTCCTGCTGATCGACGATGCCGGCCAGACCTTGCACAAACACCTCCGGTGCCGTGTAGTTTCTGAAACACTCGAAGCTCCCAGTGTCCGACTCCGGTGTGCCCTGCGCCGCTGCCATACTTTCGCTACCTCAGGATCACCAGGCCACGAATCTACTCTCATCATCGAGCAATCCCATCGCTCGAACAAAATGTCGCACGAATTCGCTCAATCGTACTCGACGCGACCTACACTCTGGTGACCGACGAGTCGCGAGCACTACATGTCGCGAAAGTCCGGATTGCAATCGTCCACGTTATCTCCCTTGGTGTTTCACGTTGGTCATCACGTCAGGACCAGAAAGAAAAGACGTCGATCAATATATCGCGATCGCGCTAGGCCGAGCCTGTCCGCCTCGCCGAAACTATCAAGCCCATTTCCCCGCGTTCCGAGAACAAATGCTAGGCGATGCCGGCGACGGCGGAGTTATCGATCAATCGAGAGGGTGCTTGGATACCAACAATTACGCGATATCTCGAGTCCGAAGGTGAATCCTATGTGCGATTTAAAAATCCCATTCGTCTGCAGCCTGCAGGTCCGAAGACGACACGCGACGGAACGGTGGGCGACGAGAGACGCGAGACGAGGAGGAATCGGAAAATCCGCGCGACGCCGCGACGCGTCGCCGCCCGACGGCAACAGCTGTTTTGCGACCTGATGTTTTCGAGCCGGGCAATAGGGCGCCGTGCAGCATTCAAATTTCCATCGTGCTGTTGTGACGGTCAATCGAGTCGGACTGAGTCGGAGTCGCAGAGCGAGAGAGACGGAGAGATTGCGACCCTCGCTCCGTGAAGACGATACTTCTCGCCGATTCGTCACCCAGGAACGCGAAGACGCCAAGGTGCCTCAGGATGGCACAGAACGTGAATCCGTTCAGCTCGATGCAAAACACGCCGACCAAGGCAACCGAAGAGAAGCAGAGCTTGCCGAAGGACAATCATGCAGTCAGTAAACGGTACGCGGAATCGAGTCCATTAATATGAATTGCGAGCTGACTGGCGAGTTTTCTTTCGAGTCGATCGTTCAAATCGCCTCGTTCGCGACCGTCGAAATTTTTCGGATATTTCAGGAATTCAAGCGGCATAATCGATATCGCTTTGTTCACTGTAGTCACATAACCTAGTGGACTCTGATGTTGATTAAGCGCGATTCGTCGGGAATATTTTACAATATTTGATTTTGTAATAGTCTATTCTATTTTTCCTTCGTTGTAATCAGCTATAACTTGTCTCATGGAGGCGTTTACTTGTGTGGAAATATCTGAATTTACTTCTTGATTGTCCAGATTGCAGAAGGAGCTCATGGTGCTGATGATGAGCACCGAACAAGGAGTATCTGCCTTCCCAGAGGGAGAAAATTTATTTAAGTGGATCGGGACTATCACAGGACCAAGAGATACGGTAGGAAAACCTCTCTACTTTGAATAACATTATTGCCTCTAATATAACAAAAATATCTACAGTTTGTATCAGACTAAATATTAAAGGTATGGCTTTCTACAATAAATCATTACCGAAGCTTTAAGTCTTTGACCAATTATAAATGATTATTCTGTTCACATTCAACTGTGATGATCAATTTCTTATGGCTTAAAACTTAAAGCTTAGGTAATGGCTTATTGTAGAAAGCCTAATAGAATTCTTTCTATGCTGGAGAAAAAAGAGAAAAGATAAATTTATAAAAAGATAAACTGCTCAGTTAAAAGACTTTAAGATCCTTACTCTCTGGCTCTTAAAAGCATTAGTACTCTCTAAATTCTTTGGAGTAAAATCTCACTCTATATAAAGAGTGAAAATTGGGAGTTTTGAAAAAGAATAAAAATCTTTAAGAGAGAGAAGAAGTGAAAAGAAGAGGATTTATTCTAAAAGTTTTAGAGAGTATTCAACAGCATTGATGTCGCTACATTATCATTGAGTAGATATTATATACAGTGTACAATGGAAAAAGTTTTGTTGAAATATCTAAAAATTTAACTAGATATAGAAAATAATTCTGAAAATAATTTTGGTTGGCCCCCCCATTAAAATAATTATGTTGATGCCCAAGCTGGTTGCTAGAATGTCAAAACATTTTACAACATTGTCATCAATGCTTTTAAGCGTTCTACATAATTATTTTGATGATTCAACAGAATTATTTCAGATGTCTGGCTAAATTTTTAAATACTTCAGCAAAATTGTTCTTTCCGTGTAAAAAAAAGCAGCACAACGACATTTACATTGCAGTTAAGAGTTATGAAATAGATGACTAAGATTGGATTGGAATTTTATCAATCAAAGTAAAGTTCATTATATAAATTCAACATTTCCTTTCTTCGAATTGATTAAATTCTAATCTAATCTCAATCTCTAGTACAGGTATAATGAAAATGTTACGTGTTGCAGGTATACGCCGGTCTCACCTACAAATTAACCTTAGAATTTCCACATAGCTATCCGTATAGTGCTCCAATAGTACGCTTTGCTACGCCTTGCTTTCATCCAAACGTGGATACCGGTGGTAATATCTGTCTAGATATATTAAAAGACAAGTGGAGCGCACTGTATGACGTCCGTACCATTTTACTCTCCATACAATCTCTTCTTGGTGGTAAGTAATAAGTAATAAATAAAGTGTAATACAAGTCAATATTGATGTGAGATACTACTTAATTTCACACTTTGTTACATAGAACCTAACAACGAAAGTCCACTTAATCTTGAAGCAGCAGAGCTATGGAATAATCAGACGAAATACAAAAAGTATCTGATGGAAGAATATCATAGGGCACTCGATCGAACACAGAGCAATCGTAATCAACAAGATTCATGATAAGCCATGACCGTAAATTCATTTTGAATCATTTAATATTATTATTCTTACGAATGGTAGGATTATAATTAAGTGTACGAACTTTCTGCACTTTTTCGAGATTCATTAAGCACTATCGAGTTTGAATTGAATTGTTTTTCTTTCAAAAGAATGACAATGACAAAATTCTTCACGAATTATGTATATGTATTTAGCTTGTATCTCGCAAGATTTTCGTAGGAAGACTTTTGTAAGAGCAATTATAAATTTATGTAATCATCGACATTAAGACAATTGCACTACATTTATTTATTTACTATATAGAAACATGTGCATTGGTTTTTCGATCATTACCGTCATCGTCTGTACATTACATCTATATTTGATGTTTGTTTCCATTTTTACCATTACTGTATAGTTCTAAAATAAATATTTTAATGATCAGATAACCATTAAGAGTTAATTTGCAATTTCCTCAACATGATTTTTTAACAACAATATCGCACGTGATATATATTTTTTGTTATATTTCAGTTTCATTAATATATGTAGTAAGATATAAATTTTTGGCGTCCAAATTTCGAAAATTAAAAAAATTTTTTGCAGAATAGCATTTTTGAAAATTTTAATTAATGTAACTCCTTTGTTTATTATATTCTTCTGAACATTCTATTTTACTTTCCCGATTTTCGTAAATTTAAGTTTTCATGTTAAAATCTCCAAGTTTAAAATTCTAAGAATTGCGACTTTGTTAGTTTGATGTATAGGAATAAACGTGGAGGAATATACATATATATTTACAAAAGGTAAATATTTTTAGTGTCATTAATAGGTTTTACTATTTTTTTGCTGATGACATAGTGTCGTTATATAAGAACATGAAACTTATTAACAAATATAACTATTGCATATGCGGTTATTACAGATAAAAACTAAAAAGGAAACAAAGTACTTTAATAAATGCTTTGAGCACGTATTCACGGTAAAAAAAATGCGGTCAGTTTATATCATAGTCTTAGTTAATTATTTCAGTCAGATGGTGCAATAATATAATAAAGATGCGGATCGTAAAATGTTAAAAATACAAATTATACATAATTAGTTAATATATACATATGTATGTGTATATATTTGAACCATTGGAAATATTAAACTTATCAATATTATCGTAAAACAAGGAATCAGTTATATTAGTCACAGTTTCAATACTTCTTTAAATTGCATTTATCTATTTTAAAAAATGTTAATCTCGGTTGAACTAATTTTTATTATATGTGTATGTATTTATATTTTATCTTTATCTTTTTCTTTATTTTATCCACATGATGCATATAAGATACATTAAATAAAAATAGTCGAAATAATTATATTAGCTATATAACCAAAATAACTATTTTAATTATTAGTTTAATCTTTAATTAATTACACTATTACGATAATAATCGTTTCATATTGAACTAAACAAAAATAATGTAAGGGGCTCCGCATAATAAAAGGAACAGAGAACAGAGAATAAGAATTTCAACCTATCAGAAATCATGTATTGTGATATGTATTTCCACAATACATGATTTCTGATAGGTTGAAATTCTTAGTCTCTGTTCTCTGTTCCTTATTCCTTTTATGAGTGCGGAGCCCCTAAGCAAGTTAATTAAGATTTTTGAAAATACATACATAGATAAGTACGAGGTAGAGACAGACAAAAAATATAAAAAAATAATTTTGTTTTACGGTTATTAGCTAAGCTAAAAAGAATATTACCTATATATTAGGTGTTAAATTTAATTCCTGCCGTCTTTTCGTCTTCAAAATTGATTTGTTTCGAAGGGAAATACCTTAATCAAAGTATTATTAATAAAGTATTATTAATTAGTAATAAAGTAGAAAATGGAGGAAATTACTTTGATTGAGGTATTCTTTCATCTTCCCTTCGAAACAAATCAATTTTGGAGACGAAAAACGGCAGGAATTAAGTTTAACACCTAATATATATTATCATTTTCGTGTTATTGCGTTATTCCGGTATCAGTTATCTAACTATTTCAAAATGCTGCGTTTTTAATCTCGACGATGCTATATATAACGGTACCGATGTGCGCTGTCAGCAGTCCACTACGAATGATCCATTTAAAGACTTCAGTCGGTCGTAAAGCAACATATGTATATTCAATACGATGTATGCTCGTTTCGTGAGTACATTACATAAAATAGTAAAATCCGGAAGCCTAGTGCATACTCGGCAACTATCAACTACTGCGAATAAGGCTCGTGAGATGGAGGTGTGTATATAAATGGAAATGCAGAATCACTACTTGCCGTTTTCTCATCTGCCATTTCATGGATCGTCTTTCGGCTACCATATGTTAAGCAAAATATATACATTCTTGTTAACAGGAACGAAAGATCAAAGTGAACAACATGGAAATTAATTATGCTAGGGTCGGCACAGGGGACCATCCGGTATTACTGTTGCCTGGAGCCTTAGGTAATGCGATTTCTCCAATTATAAATCTCTTAAGTCTGATCTACAATTGCGTAAACGTAGTTGTAAGTGGTCGTAGTTGTAACAATTCACAGTCGGATATTCTCCTTGTATTCAAGTGTGATTGGTCAATTCTTACAACTGCAACTACGTTCACGTAATTGTAGATTGGACTTTATACATTGATCAGATAATAGTTTTGTATGTTTACTTTTATCGACAGTTATTGCTGCCATCTACCGGACTGTATATAAATCTGAATAATATTTAAATTGTTTGTTGAAAAACAAGATAGCGTTGCCTACATTGTGATTTTGATGACTAAAAGAAAAGTTGTTAAATTTTCAGAACAATTTTCTGCCACCAA